TAACTATATCAAAAATTACTAATAAAGATACGAGCAAGGCCTCACCTTAAAACCAAAAAAAAAAAAAAAAAAAAATTCCTATAGCAAAGCTAATAGGAATTGAAATAAATATAAAAAATAAAGTTAATACTATAAGTATTAACTCAAAATAATATTCATTAGTCTCATTGACTAATGTTTCTTCAGAACCTTTTTCTGATCGATTCTCAAAATCAGCTTGTGGTCTAGTTGAAGATTCTTCTTGTAGATCTTTTTTAACTTGATTGAAGATCAACTTTGATAATTGATTATATTCATTTTATTTTATTTCTTGTTTTAAGTCACTCCAACTTAAATCAACTTCAACCTCTTCATATTCTTCTTGTTTAATATTAGTTTTTTGATTAAAATATATTTCTTTAATATCCTGTGTAATAATTTATTTTTTGTCTAATTTAAAAATTTTTTTGAAAAAAGACATTTTGTTTATTATTTTTAAAATTTTTATTGTTGATAAATTTGGTAGTCTGATCAAATAATTGGGCTTTATTTAAATAAACAAATAAGAATTTACGAATTTAGAAAGCTTTTATAATTTATCCATTTAAATTTTTAAAATGAATTCTTTTTGAAAATATTTAAAAACCAATAAAATTAAATTATCTTATCTATTTTTCTTGCTATTCTTTTAAAATAAAAACCAATAAAATTAAATCTTTATTTTTTTTAAATAAAATTTTTTCGTTGATTATTTTTTTAAAATTTAAAAACATTTTTTAAAATGAGGCCTTTATATATTATCAGAGAATTTTTTCATCATAATAATGAAAAACAAAACTTATTTGTGATATTTGTAAACAAACTTATAAAAAAATACAAGTGTAACAAATCTTAAATACCATTTTAAAAAATTTTATCCAGAAGATTACAAATTAATCTTTAATTTTAATATCAAACAAAACAGTCATTCGATTTTAAATTATTTCACTTTAGAAAACAAAAATTTTATTTGTAAATTATGTAGTAAAGTATATGATAAACCTCTTTTAAATTCTTTAAAACAACATTTTGTTCGTAATCATAAAAAAATTTGAAAACAAATTAAAAAAAATAGTTAAATTTAAAATTTAACCTCTTTTCCGTTCATATTTCCTGTGATTTTATCATGTGCTAATTTAAATTCAATATATTGTTGTTTAGCTTGTTTGTAATTTCTTTTACTATTAATACTAAATACTTTAGCTTTACTTTTTTTATTTTCTCTATAAGAAAATATCCAAGAATTTGAATAATTACAATATCTAACTCTATTATAATTAGATTTATTTCTTTTTGATAATTTATAATTTAAAGTATTTTCTCTTCGTGTTGTTTCTCGAAGATTACATTTATGATTATCAAGACCTATTCTGTTTTTATAGTCAATTATTTTATAATTTGGATAAACAATTCTATGAAATTTAATAGTTTTATTTTTAATTGTTGTTTCTATATAATAAATATTTCTAGTTTTATGGACTTTTCAAGTAAAATTTTTTAATAAATAAAATTGTCAATATCACAAAGAAAAGTAATATTTGATTTTTGTGTTTTGACTTCATAGTAAAGTTTATTATTGATTTTTACTAATCGATATTTATTTAATTCACATTTAAATTTATCTGGATTCTTAGAATTTTCTCAAATGCAAGCAGCTTTAAAGTCTTTGAATTTTTCTTGCCAATTCATTTTAAATTGCTATAAAAAATTAAACAAAACAATGCTTTTTATATTTTTTAAAAACTAAGCCACAATTTATAAAAAATGAAAAAACCTGTCTGTTATGTAAAGAACCAAGTTCTTTGAAAAAACTCTGTCACGTAAAGAATCAAGTTCTTTGAAAAAACTCTGTTATGTAAAGAACCAAGTTCTTTAAAAAAACTCTGTCATGTAAAGAATCAAGTTCTTTGAAAAAATTCTGTCATGTAAAGAATCAAGTTCTTTGAAAAAACTTTGTCATATAAAGAATCGAGTTTTTTGAAAAAACTCTGTCACATAAAGAATCGAGTTCTTTGAAAAAACTCTGTATCAAATATATCGAAAAACTTGAGTATCAAATGCTTAATTTTATTTCTTATCATTGATACTTATTTTTAATATATATATTAAAAAAATATTTCATTAAAAACACGATAATATTTAAATAAAAGAATCAAAAGTAAAAGATAAATTTATTTATTTATTTAAAAATTTATAAATATACATTTTTAAAAAAAATAACTAAACAAAAAAATTATTCAAAAATAATTTTACACTGCCTATTTATTGTAATTATTCTATCCGTATTAATTTGTGTACTACAAAAATCAGCATTAACCTCGATACTTTTAAGTTTTTTATTTATTTTTTCTGTTTTTTTTTCAATTTCTTGTTTTCTTTTTTTTTGTTGATTTATCTATAACTGCTTTTAAAAGTAAAGTTTCTACAATTTCTTCTTTAGTTGTATATTCATCTTAAATATCATTTTGTTGTTGTTAAATAGGCTATTGAATAACTGAACTATTTTCGAATAGTAATGCAAAAAATTAACTTATATTTTTTTATTTTAAATTAGTTTTCTTAATTTGTTTCTTTTTAGCATCTTCTTTTTCAAGAATTACTTGATATTCCTTTTGATGATGTTTATTAAAATGATTTTTTAAATTTGTTATCTGAATATCGATATTGTAAGAAGCTTTACAAATCATACAAATAAAACACGTTTTAAGATTGTTTGTTTTAAAATAATTTTGAATTTTGTGTGTGGCTCTCATTTTGAATATTTTTTAATATTTTTTTAAAAAAATAAAAAATCATTTTAAATAAAAATTTTTAAAATAAAATATATATTAATAATAAATTCTAAATTCGAGTTAAAATTCTAAATTTGATTTGCCAAAACTAAATTAATACTAAATTTAAATAAGAAAATTCCAAATATGTAAATAAAAATTTTCTCACAATAAACACAGAAATTTTAAATTTGTTAAAAAAATTTCTCACGATATAGAAATTTTAAATTTATAATAAAAAATTTTCTCACAAATAATTTTAACTAAATATAGAAATTCTAAACCGAAATTAATTCCAAATTTCTAAAAAATACACCAATTAAATTTTAGAAATTATTATCAAAAACATATTTAAAATGTTGTAGATTTAACTATTTGAAAAATGTCTCAAAAGCGATTTTTTTTTGTATCTAACCAAACTTCTGAAACTATAAAAGAAAAAAACATGGCCTCAAAAAGACAATTCAAAGATGAAGAAAATTTTGAACAAGAAAACAAAAAACTCAAACATGATTTAAGAAATAAAAAGATTCAATATGAAGCCCTTCAAGATCAATATGATGATTTGAAAAAAGAATTAAATGAAGAAAAAGAAAAA